TGGATAGTGAAGTATGAAGCCAAGCATGAGAAGTCTACAAAATGTTGGACCTTAACAGGATTTGGATCAAATGTGTGCTTTCCTACAGGCTTCAGCTGGCTTTGGATCAGACTATGCAAGTGCTCAAAATTGAGACTTATATTTTTGAAAGAAAAATGTAAAAATCAGCCAATGCAGAGTTGATTTTCAGACAGTGTCTTGCTGGATAGACAGCTTACTGTGTGGTGGATGCTGGAGAAATTGTGTCTCCTCACTTTGTTGATTAATAAAATGGGAATTATACCAGCTACCTTCCCAGCAGCCCTCTAAAGCTTGAGTAATGCTCACTAGAGTGCTGTGATGAAAAGTGTGTGTTTATAAACAGTGTGTCATTTAACATTCTTATTACCTGTGATTTAATAGAAAGACAAAATGATATAGTATGTTTTTAACTCAGCAGTGACTCAGACATGATGGTGATCACAGTGTGTGGTTTGTTGTGGGTGTTTTTTTAGTGGTATCTGCATGGGTAGGACTGGTTTATTATTTCCATATGTTGACTTGGTATACCTGATATTTAGACTGAGTTACTGTCTCTATATGTGCATGTTTCTACATAAGGCTGGGGACAACATTGATTACTGTGGTGCTGACACCATGGATGAAGCTTGCGAGGGTCTGGTTCTCTGTTCTGAGATCATCTCCAAATCGGCAGTTACCATCCTCAGTCATGGCTCTGCCAGCAAGGGAATTCACCCAACTGCATTATTCATGCCATGGAATAGTCCCTCAGGAAAAGCTGTTGGTGACTGTCGCACAACTTCAGAAATACGTGGTTCTGAAAAGAAAGAAGAGAAGCTGAAGTGTTGGAAGGAGTTATCTGTCTGAGCTGCCCATACCAGGACAGACATATATTGAGCGTCTAGTTCAGAAGAGTATCCAGAACACTGGCTCTGTATATCGTCAAACCAAACACTGTGACCCACAATGCTGTTCTTTATGCCCTGTTGTATAGTTAGGACCTGTCATAAAAGATCAGAAGCTGATTTCTATCGCCTTTGACATAGGTATAAGTCAGGAGCAGTTCTGCTGACATTACTGTGATATGACAGGAGACTGCAAAATATCTCTTAGCAATAGTCAAATTTAATTTTACGTGAAAGGAGGGTGGATGCTACTGTACCACAGATTTCAAGGAGTTATGATCCAGTCTAACCAATACCACAATGTTGTTCACAGTGTTTCATCTCTGAAGTAGCTCTCCCAAGACCAATTGAGATAACGAAACTGGGAGCGTTTCTCATTCTTGTCAGATGAAAATTGTCATTGAAGTTAAAGTGGTGGCTAGCAAGCCAAGTTACATTCTCAGTGCTTTAAAAATCAGAAGGTTTTTCTCACCATTTGTTGCTGAGGTTATCTGATGAGCTTTCCTTTTGCTAATGCTATGCGATTTTGAAGCAATAGCTTTGCTTTGTAAGTCCAACACTACAAAGTTTTAATTGACAGTATGTGATCTGGGATGGGATGACAAACCTCTCATCACTGATTGTTGATTCAAACACAGTGCCGCAACATGTTGGAAGTCTAATGGTGACTGAGTTCCTGCGATGGATTAGTGATTCAGTCCAAAGCAGAGGAGTGGCCATCCTACCATTAACTACTGCCACTTTATTGCCTAAGCAGTAAAGATGCTTTTAGAGCCCACAGACTCTGGCTAGAGCTTTCCCATTAGCTTCAGCCTCTGAAGGATCCAAACCTAAAGTGTCTGTGTTTAATCTCCACTGAAAATCAGGTGAGCCTGTTCTTTTGTCTCGTGTGAGTAAAGTGAAAGCTTCTTTGTTCCAGGGAAGTAATGGTGATGCTGTTTGTAACTGTTTAGAAAAGCCTAACCAAGCTGCTTGCTTGAGTGGGGGGAGTAAGGGAGGCTGTGTAACCTGCAGGAAAGCAGTCTGTTTCAGAAGTGAGGGGGTGAGTCTCAAAATTCTTGTTTATTTCTTCGTTCATTTCTGTTAGCTTTTGAGTGAAGATAGGGGTTAATTAGATAGCAAATACCCTCAGGAAGCAGGATGCAAAAAAATATTTTAGAGGGCTGATTCACCGCAGTATTTCTGTGAAATTCAGGTCATACACTTTTCTATTTTGTTTTCTTGCACGTGAAAATGCATGAGAAAGAAAGTCTATCCATCCCCTGGCTTTGCACAGCCTTCAGTCACATTTTAAGAGGGAGAAAATCAGCTCTTAGCAGAGCTAAGTCTCTAAGAGAAGTTCAACAGTGAGTTTGACTTCTACAGTCCAGCTTTGCAAAGATAGTATGTAGTTTTGTATTGTGTAAAAGTGATAGAAAGATGAAGGAGGAAGAGCCTTAGCTTTTTTATTGCAAGACGCTGAACAGAAGACTCTCTGGACAGGAGATATATAGGAAATTCTTGTTTGTTCTGATTCTGCCTTGGTGGGTTAAAGAGCAGTTTCATCTGGCTGTTATCTTTTGGATTAGTCTTTGGGTTGAATTTGACCATGATGTATGTGCTTCACAGACAATTTCAACATGTGACTCCTGGTACACAGAAGACTTGAGATAATGAGTTATTTGCTGAATTTTTTGGTTGCTTTTTCTCTGCATTAATTGGTTTTATGCAGACTTACTGAATGTATGGAGAGGAGTAGGAAAGAGTACGTATTTAATATGATAATTTATGTTTACCTATTCAGTAGAAAATAGCTTATAAAATATGGTGTCTTCTGTTTTTCTTGGAAAAGGTTTAACAGCAGTGACTACTGTGCTTCAAAATGTGTCTTTTGAAGATGAGTTTTATTTGCTGCTCAGCTTGTTGTTTTAAATAAAAACTCCTTGCATGTTCTGGTTAATATTTACAGGTGAGGAAGGGAGTCAAAGTGGCCACATAAAAGTGCCGGGTATATTAAAGTGGGAAAAAAGTCGTTACCTGAGCTGTAAAACTCTGGAGCTAACATTATTATTGCAAACTGGGACATTGGCTCCATGCCATCTCAAAGTGTGTCAGTCACAAGCTCAGTCTGTGCAGCACTACTGGCCTATTCTTTGAAAGACTTTTAAATAAACAGCTGACTGCCACAGAGCGTTTGAGAGCTGGAGGTTATGGGTCTTAGTAACAAACAACAAACTGTAGGGCAAAGTTGTCTCTTTAAAGTGCCTTCACTTCCTACCAATGACACTTAACTAAATTGTTCCAAGGCTAGTTTTGTTTAAAGTCTTCTTTCCCCAACCTTTGTCAGGTTTCAGGATCTCTGGGTTTGAACACTCGGATCTCTGTGTTTGAACATCACTCCAAAGGGCATGTCAGGTACGACAGTAGTCTCCCTGGAGTTCATCCCTGAACTTCTCGTATTTTGCTGGGACAGAAAGAATGACTGTTTATAAACTCATGATTGGAGTATCCCTCCATCATGCCATCAGCAAAAGGAAAAACAAGCACTTCTCTGCTGGTTTTGTTTAGCTGCTGCTTGCTGGCAATTTGGCTGGTTGCTAATCTTTCAGCTATTTGGGAGCGGATTTTTTATGGCAGTTACATTCTGTTGTGTAGGGATGGGGTCTAGCACACCAGATTTCTCTTTGCTTAGGTACGTGTTCTTTCTTGTGGTGCTTAAGAAAAAAGAAGCACCTTTTTCTCTTCCTCTCTGCCTCTCAGCAAAGCTTTGAGCAACTGTCTTCAGAAGAATTTAGTGCTTTCCACACACAGCCTAGTAAAATTTTCATGGACATGATTTCTGTTAAGGGAAACAGTGGAGCATACATAATCCCATGACAAGAATTTATTAGCCACTGATAGGGTAATATTTTTGTAGTGCTGTGCAAATGTAAAACATATTGTGTTATTTAATTTAAATAATGCGCAGCATGAAATGTTTACTCTCTGTCTTTAATCGTGAAACCTTCACTACTAAAACAAAAGTCTAATTGAAAGAACCCCTGTCTACCCTATCACCTACTATTACCTACATTTACTGATGATAATACTCTTCTGCACATGTATATATAAGAACAAGGCTCTAATGCAGTAATTTATGTTTTCAGTCAGTCTTGCTGTTAAAACCATTCTTTCTTGCCAGAGTAGGTTAGATGGAACAACACAAAGTCTATGCTCTTCCTTTTGTAAGAACGACAATGCCAGTATTCCCCTGTAGAGAAGACAAGTGGAGCTATAAAGGAAGTGGCAGCTTCACCGTTGCTTTCTTATCATTCTACACAATCCAATAGAAAATTAAGACCACTACTGAATTCCTGAAGATGGGTCAAGAAAAATAACAATCTCTGTACAGTTCTGTGGGAAACGGGAATTATTTCTGTGCAATACTGTAGGTTTTATGAGATTTGCAAAATTAAAAACAGAGAACAAATATGGAAAAATCTTGCTCGGGGATTTTTTTCCTACAGAGAAGAGCACTGAAGCTATGGCGAATGCTTAGAGGCACCATTGGTCACTTCAGGAGCTGTTAGATAAGACTGCCAATTTGTAACATAGTATTTTGTCTACTAAGTTTATACGTACATTATGTATGATATGCAGTCACTGGGGAAGATTATACAAGGTTTATTGAATTCCCATCTTTATGATAACTTAATAGCCTCTATTTAGGTAGATGTTTAAAAAGGACAGAGAAGTTAAATTACTTTAAAAAATGAGGCTTTTTTTCTTTTAAATGTTCATCAGGTTAGCTGTTGGCCAATTTTTAAGGCTAGCTTGTTATATATTTGCTTTTCAGCTCATAATTACTAGAAAATGATGGTAAAACAGTAACAAAGTGTGACAGGGCCAGCCTTGAGCTTAACACTAATGTATATTATTTCCATATCCTTAGGGACATGAAGCCTTTTGGAAAGGCTTTCAAGAGGAAGAGCTAGTAGACTGCTCTGAAGTTGATACAAGCTTCTCTGAGAAAAAGAACAGGGCCTGGAGGACCTGTGATAGGGAGCAACTGTTTTCAGATACCTGCACTAAATCTCAGCCGTGCTTTTCTGCCAGCTGCTGCAGAGCAGAAGATTAGCAGACATGTCCATAGCACTCAAGCAAGTCTTTAATAAAGATAAGACTTTCCGCCCAAAACGCAAGTTTGAACCTGGAACCCAGAGGTTTGAACTTCACAAACGAGCACAGGCCTCTCTGAACTCAGGCGTGGACTTGAAAGCGGCTGTGCAGTTGCCCAGCGGAGAAGACCAAAATGACTGGGTGGCTGTCCATGTTGTTGACTTCTTCAATAGGATCAACCTCATTTATGGAACTATCTGTGAGTTCTGCACAGAGAGGACCTGCCCAGTGATGTCTGGAGGCCCTAAGTACGAGTACCGGTGGCAGGACGATATGAAGTACAAGAAGCCCACAGCGTTGCCAGCACCCCAATATATGAATCTTCTCATGGACTGGATCGAGGTGCAAATCAACAATGAGGATATATTTCCTACGAGTGTAGGTAAGTGCGAGGAAGAAGTCCTAAAGCATAAACTGCCTTTCATTCTGTGTACTAAGCATGTTCTCTTCCCACCCTCATTTTTAGGGATTGTGAAATTCAAGCCTTTAAACAAGCAGGTGGGGAGGAGGAGGGTATCTTGCAGGAATAGTGTGAAATGTATGAAAAGTTAACTGTAGCTGCTAGATATGGGGTTTGTTAGCCTAAAATGTTTTCATTCTAGGCATTTGTCCCTGGTAAGCCTCTCAGGTTAATCACTAAGTGTGGTCAGCATTGCATTATTAGCTTGTTGAAAGCTAATCAAGTTTGCATTGCTTTGCACTTTGCCTGGCCAGTTAGGCAGATGCGGAATGGATGGAAAGCAAAGCCTAATTAGAGTGATATCCTCCCTTCGAAGTGTGTACAGCTGTGCGCAGTACAAGGCAGTGGAGAGTCAGGAATGCAGTGGACTCTGCCCTCCCACCCTTTCTTGACTTCCCATCCAAAACTGACAAATTGGGAAGTGAATTATTGTCCAAATTACTGTTTCTAAGACTATATATAACTAACAAGCTTTGCTATGGTTTAACCAGACAGCCCAGATGAGAGAGCTGTTAAAGGCAGCACAATTTTCCTTTTATAATACTATAGTTAGTTTTCCTGAAGAGTGGGGCAAGTAGGTGGAGGTATCTTTGCTGGAATAGTTCCCTCTGGATGAGGAGGACTTTGCAGAAGAGTGCATTGTGTAGTGTAGACAGCCTAAATCTTTAGCTGTGGCTGCAGGTAATAAAAAAAGACAGGATGTTATACCTTAGAGATGTCAGTATACTTATGTAATTTTTAGCAGTTTTAGTTAATGAGTCCTGATTCAGTTCTTGCAAGTGGGAAAGCTGGGAGCTTGCTGTAAGAAATGTGAGATGTTATATATAAGTACTTGGCCCAGTTGAGTAACAAACAAGAATGCTCTGTTAAAATTAGTTCAGCCTAATATTTTGCAGTTTATATGCAGCTAGGACCTGCGGCTAATTGGTAGACAATACATCAAGAGTTTGTGTCTATCAGTATTTCCTGACCTTTGAAATACCTTATTCTTGGCCTTGACAGCTATTTGTCTGGACAAACTTGTAGTTTGTTTCCCAGTTCCTATCACTTTTCTTTTCTGCACTAATAGGAAGAAAGAAGGCAGTAACTATAGCTTTTAATCTGGACTTTGCAGCACAGTAAGAAGAAGGAGGATTTCAAAGAAAGTACCATATATTTTATGTAGTGAAAAATGGGTTTGATTTCTCAAGCATTTGTTGTTTTATGTTTCTTTAGGGTGAATGATTTTTGGAATTGAAGGTGGGTTGAAGGTGCAGTGAAGTATGTGATTTCTGCTTCCATTGATATTTCTACAGGCTTTTTTTTATACCAAGTTTCCATCTTGGAGTATTCCAATACTACTCTGTGCTCTTGCAGTTTCCATATGCAGAATGTGGTCTGTCTGCAAGCATGGGGAGCAGATAGTACACTGGCATGCTGATGGGCTTTACTGAACGAACAAATAATCTGTAACACACAAGCTTTCAGCTCTAGATGCTCCCCCCTCATGTTTGTAGTAAGATATATCTGGAGGAACTTTGTCTTGAAGGCTTACCTATTTTAAGCCTAAGAATGAAATTAGTAAATATCCTCAATCTACTGTTTTTCTCCTCCCAGCAGCTCCTGCTGTTGTAGATCAAATCAAATCTGAAGAAACTGAGGAAGGGGAAAGACCTGTGGTCTCTAGAATGGGGCTGGACTCTTGATACAAGTCAGAACAGGAATGCTTGATGTGTGTGAAAAATCTTCGTCTCACTCTGAATTGACCCAAAGAAAGGGGAGAAGCCTGCTTGAGCCTTCATGGAGTGGCCATGCGCCATGGTTGTATTACATGTATTATATGACTGCGCCATGGTTGTATTACAGACCAAGATGACTGGACAGCCCCATAAAGAGATTTTGTAGATACCCTTTGGAGCATTATTCCATAGAGCAGCACTTGCATCCGTATTCCGCTCTCCCCTCCTCTTGAGCCTTTGTCACAGATACCATAGTAGCCATCTGCACACTTCTGATTATCTTCTTGATTCACCAATTTGTGGTATGAAACTGTTGGTAAAATTGCTTAGCAGGCCTTAGATCTTACAATTCAGAAACAGATGCACACTGCGTTGATTTTGGCATTCTGGGTACCTCTTCTCTCAGCAAGTCCTTACTTAGACACCCAAAATGGTCAAAGGGAATTTTGGGTCTGTTCCTGGGTAAATTACTTTTCTTTCAAGGGAATCTTTCTGATTTCTTTGTATATCAATCCCCTATCTGTAAAATGGAGATGATACTACCTGCCAGCCTGTCTGAGTACTGCTTGTAAAGCTGTTGAATGAAATGCAGTCACTCAGCATGTATATTGTTACACGTTTTGCTTTTCACAATTGATCAGAGAGAGAAGCTTTGTTATTGTGTTGGATACTGTTTGTTCCTACCTGTTCTGCAGCAGCCTTTGGTTAGATGTATCATAGGCTTGGTATTAATGCAAACCACTATTTTCGTTCAGAGGAATTAATGACGGTGAAAATGACAATTGTTCATTCTTCAAAGCAGTTGAAATAGATGTTGAAAGATTATATACTCAGATGTGAAAATGAAACAGGCTTAGGTATGTCCTTACTAATAGTACAACAATTTTAAAGCATTGAGTGGCTGTAACTTAAAGAGAATAATATATTGCTTTGAATCTTTGTAGCATATGGTCTGCGGAGAATTGTTCTGTAAAAAGTGTATGTCCAGCGGATGAGATTTGGGCTGACCTTTCCATTAGCAAATGAGTTTGGTGAAGAGATCCAGAGTGGGATTCGTAGGAGCTGTCCACAGAAACTTGAACACATTTTTCTCAGCTTAATCCTATTAAACTTGTCCTCTTTCATTCAACATATCTCTTGCAAACTATCTAAAAAGGGAGTTCAAGAACTGTGATTAAGCACAGCTTTCACTGAGGAGCTACTTTCAAGGAAAATCATTTTGGGATAGGGATAGCCGGGCTTGGTGGGCTTTTTTTTTGTGGTGGTGGTGTTCCTCTGTGCTTTAAAAAAAAAAAAACACAAATGCAGTTGAGTTATACATTGTTATGAATGTTATATTTAACCCTCCCGGTGTTTACATTGGCACGATGACCTCTGGCCACTTACCAGCCTCTGTACTTCCTGTGGTCTGGTGCTATTTCCCCTCTGCTTTCTCCAGTCATTCTGGTCTGTTCATTTGCTGGTAAAGACCCTGTTCCTCCAGCCATTCTCACTAAACTGGCTGGCAGGAGAAAAGGGAGCTGGTATAGGAATTGGAAGAGATGTCAAGACTTGTGTGCAGGTGACAAAACCAGGTGCTGAATATTAGGACCACTTCTTTGTATAGCAAAGCTTTAAGGACTGTCTTTGTAAAACAGCCTCACAGCCTGTAGAGAATTTTAGACATGAGTATGTCCTTGTTCTTATTTCCATTATTCTCAATTTCCTTTATCTGTTTTAAGTGGATTTAAGGCATGTAAGAGGCTGACAGCTCTGGAAACAAGTTCTGTATGTAACCACAGATACACTCTGACCTGTCTCAGCCCTCACTGAGTGGGAATTCAGAAACAGAACGGAGGAGAGTTCACTCTGTATGCCTGCTCAGGCCACTCTGATGAAGCTATCCATATTAGTCCCCAGCATGAATTTTTGTAGTGTGCTGGAGTTTTATTTAGCTTTAGGGTAAACTCTCTTTCTCCAGTAAATACTAGTTGCTCTTCCAGGCACCTAGTAGTCTCACTATTAAAACACTTTTCAAGGGATATATTTCCCAGGCTCATATGGACAACTTAAATACTCCATAGCCTCAGAAGTACCTTCCCCCCCCCCACTTTTTTTATTTCTGTGCTTTTTGGTAAACAGGCTGAAGAAATCATTTGGAGTGGGAAGCAGTTGATCCTTGGGACAGCTGCAGTTTTTGGTGAACTGCAATTGTCAGCTTTCATGGTATGTGTTTGGGCAGTGTCAAAAAAGGAGCTAAGAACGCAAGCAGCTCTCTACTGCTGTGCTCCCTTCAGGCCCTGATTCCCAAACAAGACAAATTCAGTTGCCTTAGGTTTTTTCTTCTCCTCATTGCAGCCTTAAATTGGGAGTAATTCTGTCTTGTTTGGATTTTCAGTGAATGGAATGGGTTTTTCTGTTGTAAGCGTCTCTGGGAAAGATATCCAGAAATTTAAGGCCACAGGGGATTATTTCATTTATTCTAATCTGACCTCCAGCATAACACAGGCCAGAGAACGTCACCACGTGATTTCTTCATCAGGTCCATAGTTTGAAATGAGAAGACAGTGAGAAGACAGAGTGTTCTGCTGAAATAAACAAGAACATGAACTTCTTTGACTTGACATAAAGAAAAACTTTTCCCAATGAGGACAATAAAGCACTTGAGAGGGGGCCCAGAGAGGTTGTGCTGTCTCCATCCTTTGGGGTTTTCAAGACCAGGCTGGACAAAGCCCTGAGCAACCTGATCTCATCTGATGGCTATATAAAGCAGAAAGCTGGGATGCAGACCTCCCAAAATCTGTGCCAGCCTGAACTATCCTGTGATTCTTAGTTCTAATTTCTGCGCTGACAGGCTGCTTCAAGAGCAAGAGCTAAATTGATTAGAAACCGATTAAGCAGTTTAAGAAGCTGCAATTTGGCATTTAATGGAAGTACAAAATCACTTTTAAGCTATGAGAGTTTTTGTAGAGGAGGATTTCAAAGGTTATTAAGTTACTGTAATCAAATAGCCTAGTTATGGCTGATCAAAATGAAAACATAGTTTTAAAGTGTTTAAAGCCTAGAACTTTGGCTGAAAAATTAATGTATCTTTAGAAATGCACTGCCTAGTCCATGCTTAACTAGTAAATTTTGGTAGCTGGTAGCTTCAGAGTTTTTGCACAGAGCATGTGTGTGACACTACTTCCAAAAGAGGAGCCCAATATGTCACCACAATGCATCTAC